ACACTGCTGAGGGGAGCAGCGGGCGGGTCAGGAGAGGTCTGCCGCGCCATGTGGTCACCTCCGGGGCAGGCGGGAATCGAATTCACGCTGAAGTAGCTTTAGCTTCTTGGTCCTGTGCTTTAACCCACTGCACCACCATGGAGGGCCCTGAAACGGGCTTTTAAGTTGTCCCCCAAAGCGTAGAAGTGCGATAACTTCCTCCAGGAGTCGAGGTGAGGGCGCCTCTTGGCCGACCTTCGCCTAAACCCACCCGGCCTTGGATGATTTTGCCAATCCACCAAGTCGTCTGATGCACTCGAGAGAAATTTTCCCACGGGCGTTATGAATTTCTCCCTCACAAAACATGTCCGTCTTTTCTGGCTTTGCAGAAGTCCACATATTCAGTTACCTCCATCTCTTGTCACCAAAGTCTTGTTTTTATATAACTAGAAAACCACACAGCAGAGAGCTTGCAGGAACCTGTGTGTGCGCACACACACCCCACTGAACTTTTGTATGAAATGGTGAAATGACATGTTTTTCTCATTCCAGGCAATTTGCTTCTGAGTCTCACTTAGAGAGCCGGGAAAGGGGCCCTTTGCGGCCCGCCCCAGTAACAATGTGCTGCAGTCCCATCTCTTCCAGTCCCAGAAGGGAAGAGGAGGGCCTGTTACTCCCAGGGCCCCAGGCGGCTCTGCAGGGCCAGGGGCTGGGCCGGGAGAGAAATCAGGGAGTTTTCTGAAGCTCAGAATCAGAGCAAGGACCCCAGAGGAGGCTCGAGGGAGCAGGGGCCACAGAGCCAGGGGGCTCCCTCGGGTCAGGACCTCACCTCTGCGCCCCCTTCCTGGTCTGCACAACGGGAGCCATTTTGGAAGGAGCTTGGCGTGGGACTTGGCGCTGGGAAGTGTCTTCATCAACGTCTCTGTCTCCCGAGGAAAGGACTGAGGAAAGGACCATCTCAGGATGCCACCATGGGGCAGAGACACCTGCGCCCACCTGGACCCCAGAGAGGCGGCTCCTCTGCTCCCGACATGCGCAAACCCCTTCCCTCTGCTGCTGGACTGCGCCTGCCTCTTAGACGCCTTTAAACAGTCTTTATTAAATTTTCATGGCATATAAAGTCAAGGTTCTGTTATCTGGCCTCAGTTGTCTTGGTAACTTCGTAAAGTGCAATAATAAAACGAAGCCGAGAGTCACTCAACACAGGCCCATGGTGTAGACGGCTGGCAAGGACCGGGGGTTTCTTCTGGCCATTTCTGGCAGCAAGCCCCCCCGGTGGGCAAGGCGTGCTCACCCGGAGCCGGCCAGTGAGGAAAGGGCTCCTTTGATTTGGTTTCCACCCTTGTGGCTAATATGCACCTGGGAGATATCGCTTCGGGAAAACTGGAGAGACCCAGGAGGAGAAGACAGGGGTTTGGAAAACCCCCTAAGCCCAGATCTGTGGTGCTAGAGTCCAGCCACCTGTCGGACAGACACAGGGCACCTGCCCTGAGAGGGTGGCTGCCTCCAGCTTCAGGGACACCGTGGGAAGGAAGGGAGAACAGCCGGACATCCCAAGTCCTGCCCTTGGAGGGGAGGCTGCGGGCTTTGCTAGAGAACTAAGCTGATTCCTGCACCAAAGAGGCAACTTCCGATGCCGCCGCCCCCCCCAGGGGCTCCTTGCCTGGGGATGCCTCCCCAAGCCTCCCCACCTCCTGCCCCATTCTGTGCTGCTGTCCCCTGGCCCTTTGGGAGCAGCTGTGTCCACTCAGTAGTGCCCGGACTCTGGACTCCTGGTGGTAGCAGAAAGCAGTCAGCCTTGAGTTGGGGGGGGCCCTGCCCTCACCCCCCTTAGAAATCACCACCACCTAGGGCATCGATGTCTGTCCCACTGGGGCAGGCTGCCCCCCAGGAGTCTGTTCTCTGGAACCCTCAGGTTTGCCTTTCTCGAAAGTCCCATTTCACACCTCCCTCTGCTCCTGCTCCGTCCATCTCCTTCGCCTCAGACCCCTGAGTCCACTGGTCATGGCTTTGGGGGGGGGGGCAGAGCAGCCATCGAGTACCTGTGAGGAAACCAGGTTCTCAGCTGGGGAAAGGGCATCCCACAGCCTTGAACGTCGGAAGTGCCTCTGCCCTCCACAACCAACCAGGGTCAGCTGGCCGCCGGAGCCTACTTACCCTGGACCCCTGGGGGTGCCCCTGAGGGTTCACACCCCACCTCTGTCTCTAACGCCAGCAGCCCCCATTTTGACTCTGATCAATGATACTTTTTTTTACAGTTTAAAAAAGATTTATTTATTTATTTATTTATGCATATAAGAACTGGGGTACAGGCCAGAGGTACCCCCTCTGTGTGTGTAGGGGGTGGTGAGAGGATTCCCCAGAGACAGAGTGGGGAGCACAACAGTCAGATCTACTGAAGTACACTGCTGAGGGGAGCAGTGGGGAGACAGGAGAGGTCTGCCGCACCATGAGGGTCACCTCCAGGGTAGGGGATCGAACTCGTGCTGCAGTGGCTGTGGAGAGCTTCACAGTGCTGTGCGTTAGCCCCTTGCACCAGCAGGTGAGGCCCCACTGATAGACTTCATTAAAAGGTTGTGTGGACCCTGCTACACTCCAGCCTGACAATTTTGCTAATGAGGCAGAGGAAGCCCAGAGAAGGGACCAGCCTTGCCTCAAAATCCTAGCAAGTGAGGGAAAGCTCAGGTTCCTGAGGGAAGGAATCCTTTGCACCTGTTCTGGTCAGAGGCTGGAGACGAAACCCCCGCCCCACCCTCTCACTGGGGAGGTTTAACTAATTCCACCTGTCCTCTCACTGGGGAGGTTTAACTAATTCCACCTGCCCTATAGCCGTGCTGTTTTTATCAGGTGCAGGTCAGGAAAATACTTCAAACACTACCATCATCACTTCCGGTTTTCCGTGACAAAGCGGGCGCCTGGGAGAAGTAACTTGCTTGGCATCTTCCCACCGCCCCCGAGCTGCCTTGGCTTCCGTCACTGCCACAGGCACCAGGACACCTGGAGGCACCAGCGTCTGGGTGGCCGGTCCACACCAGAGCCCCGGGGACTGGCTGCTCCCATCACCGGAGCCGAGATCCCAGACAGTTTCTGTCCTTCCCAGGCAGGCAGAGAGCTTGGCCCCAGCCCCAGGCCATCTGGCTAGATAAAGGCTGTGGGCCCAGCCGGCTCCAGCTGCTCCTGCCTGTAGGCCCAGGGCCCCCCCACCCCACACCTCCCCCACCAGCCCAGGGGCACAGCCCCACTAGGAGCAGCCTTGGAGCAGTGAATACCTTGGTCCCTTAGCCCACTTCAAGGTGACTCTCCGCACTGTCACAAAGGGAGCTGAGTCACATGGAGGGCGTGGGTGCGAGCCACCCCCAGAGCTCCCGGTCCCTGAGACCCTGTGTGTGCCGCCAGGCCACAGCCTGTGGATTAGCTCGTTTTATCCATATCACTTTCCGGAAATGGGCTTCATGTGCTTCCCCCCCCCAAGATTTATTTATTTATGCATAAAAAACTGGGGTGTAGACCAGAGGTGAAGGCAGTGAGAGGATTTACGAGGGACAGAGTGGGGAGCAGAACAGGCCGACTGAAGTACACTGCTGGGGAGCAGCGGGCGGGTCAGCAGAGGTCTGCCGCGCCATGTGGTCACCTCCGAGGCCGGGCATCGAACTTGCGCTCAAGCAGCTGCAGCGAGCCGCACAGTGCTGCGCTTTAGCCCGCTGAGCCGCCAAGGAGGGCCGGGGGTGCGCTTTCAAAGAGAGCCTGTGCCAGGCAAGCACCCCTACATCTGAGTGTCCCCTCTTTCCTCTTTTTTCACGCACAGAACTGCCCTTTGGTTCGGCCTCGAGGTGGGTGAGGGCGCCGCGTCGTCTTGCTCCCCAACAAAGGAGGCGGAGACCCGCTCGTCACGTGTCCAGAGACGCGGGTGTTTCCTCCTCTCGGAACCGCTTGCTCACGCTCCTTGCCCAATTTTCTGCTGGTCTTTTCCTGGTTGACACGTAGAATCTCTTTGCAGATGAAAATAATTAGCCTTTTGTCAATTTTTTTTTGCAAAATGTGTTCGATATGGGCCATTTCTCAGCAGCCAACTGTCTCTGCTTCCAACTCATCTCCACAGGCTGCCGGGGTG